CCGGGCGGCGCTACGCCACCGCCTTCTACCTGTGCTGCCTGCGGCAACGCCCGCACACGGCGCAGGACGAGCGGGAGGTGACGGGCTTCAGGGTGAGCGCGGGCCGATGACACTTCATCCTCTCCGCCTCCCCTGCCAGTGTGGGGAGCGGGGGGAGTCTGGCCAGTCACTTCATCCCCTCTGCCATCCCTGCCTGTGCTCAGGGGAGTCTGGCCACTCCTGGCACTTCTTGGAAGAGTTTCATCCAAAGGGCTGGGTGGGAATCCGCCCTGCAAGGTGGCAGGGAGATGTCTTGTCTGAGACCGCCTTTTTCCTTTTGGAAGAGAACGGCTGACTTTCTGCTGACCTGCACCTGGTATCTAGAGCATCCCCCTGGGAAGTGCCAGACCCAGCTTCCAGTCCTGGGCAAGGCACAGCTTTTTTTCATAGACTACTTAGGGGCTGGAAGCAACCTTAGGAGATCATCAAGTGCAGCCCCGCAGCCATAGGCAGGAAGTCAGCTGGGCTCAAGGGATCCCAGCCAGAAAAAAATCCACATGTTTTTTGAAAGAGTCCAGAGTAGGTGCTTGGACCACCTCTGCGGGGAGTTTGTTCCAGACCCTGGAGACTTGCACCATAAAGAACTTTTTTCTTCTGTCTAGTCTAAATTGGCCTTCCTGGGGTTTATGGCGTTAGACCTTGTTATTCCTTGGGGAGCTCTGGTGAACAGCTGTTCTCCCAGGTCCTGATGCACCCCTCGTATATAATTGTAGGCTGCCACCAAGTCCCCCCTGAGTCTTCTTGTCTCTAGACTGAAGGGTCCCAAGTCCCTCAGCTTCTAGTCTAGTGGTTCTGAGTCAGGCAGGGCAGGGCCTTATGTTAGGACACGTTTTGAACCTTGAAGGTTGTTGAGAAGTGGGATTGCCATCCTCTGGCCTGCTCTAGTCCCTTCTATGAGCACCTCTTTAGTTAGTTTCTTGGTATTATCAGTGTTTCTGCATTACTGTTTTTTTTTCCCTTTTAGAAACCACACATCTTAAAACCACATTTGTAAAAAGTTCAGTGACTTTGTCTTTATAATAAATTCACATTTGTTTATATTGAATATTCACCATTTTAACACTCTCAGAAATCCACCTATGTGGATTTATCCACCTATTTGTATACAAGAACATAGGGTTAAGGGGGATCAGTAAAGGCCTTCACCTTGTGGACTTATAGATTTCATAGACATTAGGGCTAGAAGGGACCATCGGGTCCAGCCCCCTGCCCAAAGGGCAGGCAGTCAGCAGGGGTCAAATGATTCCAGCAAAATAGGCATCAATGTGTAAAACTACTCCTGTGGTTTTTGGTATTTGGTACCATAGGTTATTGGTATAATCAGTGACTGTTTTTTGAGAAATATTCTCAGTGATGGGGCACTTACAGTAACTGTGGCTGAATTTGTGATAAACTTTGAGTCATTCAGTGGAATGAATCAACAGTCTTTCTGTTGATTCCTGTTGACTGTCAGTCAGCCCCTGAAGAAGAATCAATATCCTCTTGCTTTACAGATGAAATTGAATTTCCAAAGTTGGCGTGCTTGCATACACAAAACTCAATTGTTTTATTGTCTTTAAAAATAGCTTTTGTAGGGGAAAAATAAATGTTTTTTTTTTAAGTTTTTTGCTCAATTCTCTTAGTTGGGTTTGTCCATATAAATCTGTAGGCAAAACACTGAACATCTCCTTGACATCCAGAAAGCTTTTAGCTGTTCATTCCAAGCCTCTCATGAGCCAGACTTGTCTCTCTTGAGGGTTCCATAGAGGCATAAATAATTGGTAGGATTTATCAACAGAGGCCAAAAAATAATATGTTATTTCATTGTCTTCCTTTTACAGTGGTCATCACCATCAGAAGCAATTGAATGCTTTAAATCTCAGGAAATGTGGTTTGCTCCTCCTCAACTTTATGAATTATGTAGGCTGTGCAACTTTTCCTCACTTGATGCTCTACATAGATTTGGTTCTGATCGTGCATTAGAAGGTTGTGAACGCTGGATGTCTGTTATGTTGGCTGCTTCAAATGGCCATATTCAGCTATTACCAGGTAAAGTAACAAAATGAAGCTTTTTATTGTAGCAAGAGTTTTGGAAATGATGATAATCTTACATTTTAAGAATGTAAATCAATCTATAGCTACCAGAGATGAGGAAAAATTCCCTGGCCGCATCCAGATGAGCATGGCCATGCAGTATGTGGCACTGCAGACATGTCTGCAGCGCCACATACCACATGTTCAGGTGTTCTCTGTACTGCAAGGGAGCAGTGCGGGGCGGAGTGGGTTTGACCCATGGATATCCAGGAGTACAAAAAACAATAGAAAAAAAAGCAGAGCAGTACATGTGGGGGCACCGTGCACGGCTCAAAATGAGCCAGGCCAGCCAGAGCCACTCTCTGGCTGCCGGCCAGGCTCCAAGTGGTAGGACTGGTGCTGCTGCAGCCCCAGGAGACCCCCAGGACACCAGGTAAGCCTTCTGGGGCCAGCACAGTGCTGGCCCAAGCCTTCCCTACCCCAGTAACTTGTGCACCAGAGGAAGTGTGGCAGAGGCATTCTTCGAGGACAACTAGTGGCAGCACAAGGCACGCTGCTGCTTGTTGTCCCTGGGGAACCACATGTCCATGCTCATGTGGATGTGGCCCCTGAGAACAAGTAATCCCACAGTTGCCTGCTGCACATTTTATTTCTCTGAGGCAGCTGCTGTTACAGACAGGATACTGAACAGGTTAAAGACTTCATTGCTATCTTGCCTTTAATCATCTACCAAGCATTAGTTATATATAGTATTGTGGGAGCAGGTAAATCTCAATTTGTATAGTAACTTTTATCCTGGAGGATATGGCTGAGTTTAAGCCCCACTCTGCCATGTCGTCTTTAACCAAAATTTAGCCCTTGCTTTAAGGAAGGACTTATTTCTAAATATTGCATTAACCCAAATTACAGTGCAGTTAGATCATCTTTCTAATGTCTCTATCTCTCTCTCTGTTTTTGTTGTTGTTGTTGTTACTGCTAATCTATTTAAACATCTTTCTTTTGTTTCCTGTTTCTTAAAACTTAGGCCTTTTGCCAAAAGAAAAAGATCTGATTATTTTCTGTTTCTTCAAATATGCTTTTCCTTTTTGTTACCTCCTTGCTTTTGTGCTCTATAGTTGGTCCCATTTTTGCTGTTTTTTGTCTATATATTACTATACCACAGTAACTATTTTTAAAAGGCCACACAAAATTCGGCTTGGCAGAAGAGGTTTTTAAGTAAAACTGTATGACCTGATATGATACGTATTCCTAGTCCTGCCATAAACCTCTTGTATGATTGTTGGAAACTTGCTTAATCTGGCTACCTCATTTCCTCATTTGTAATGTAGAATTTCGTACCCTACTTGGATGTAGAAAGGCCGTAATAATTAATGTGTGAGTTTTTTAAATACTTTTTGCATACAGTGGAAGGTGTTTAAATGTTTCTTAGTGCCTGGAAAAAGAGACTTTGAACTTGAATGTCCCATTATACTCCAGAAAAATTTATTTCAACATACGGTACTTCCAGTGTTGGGCCATCTTCAATTAGGAAAGATTGGAGTTAATTAAATCTCATTGTACTCTGAACATTGTTCCTACACTGCTTCATATCCTAATGATAATGTAGCAACCAGCAAAGCGCAAATCACAGAGGAATAAAATGTTTTATATATAATTAAATATAATGTTTTTCAGGAGATGAGCTGTATCCAGAAGATCCAGATTATACAGGAGAAAAGAAAATGATCTGGTCAACAGATAAGAAGGTTGAAGATCTAATGAAGGAGGGTAGTAGACTTCATCGGATAGTAATAAAAGATCTTAACCGTATTGCTGTTTACGTGAATATCCAACCAAAATATAAACACATCAATCCAATATTGATGGACTCTAGTCTAATAGAAAATAATGAAGACTGCAATAGTAGACTATAATATGTATCTGCTTTTTCAGTCAATTTTTAAGAAAATATATGTTTATTTTTTATACATTTAGTCTTTTGTGACAGTTGCTGAGCAGATAGTATTGAAGGCTAAAGTTCAGCAGTACAGGCTTTTTTGCATTGTTCTAAAATTTACATCAACTCTGGTAAGCTTACCTCTCTGGGTAAAAGGAAGGTTCAAACTCCTACTTCATTTTAGATCTCTCTGAAATTGAAACTGAACAAATGTGTCAAGTGTGATGTTGATATGTTCAGTGAGAACATCACCATAATAAGCTACCAACTTGATTTTGTGGGTCAGTGAATGGTAAGTGAATGGCCGTATTTGACCATTCCTAATGTTGTCCTGTCCATCCTAGGCCACTTATATGCTTACAGTGGACTACAGTGATGCAATTAAATCGTACTGTCTCATTGAAAACAAAAATGCCTGTCATGTTCTGAATTCAACAAGCTCTCTTTTCTGTGTTTTAAAAAGTTACAACAGATAGTGAGGCACATGGAACTGCAATTTAAATTTTCTATTCTGTGACTGATATATTTCCAACTCTCATATTTGGGAATCTGAACATCTGTGCATTAAGTGAACTTTGTTAACTAATGCTCATTTATTCTGTTTTTTAATACTTTTTATAAATTCTGTGTTTATGGTCAGTACAATTTAGTTTAAGTGAGTTTCCAACACTCATGAGTAAAACACTTTAAGGTTTAACAGCTTTTTAGACTTTTAAACCTTCCAGACTAAAAACAGCTTGTCTGCTGAAACTGTCAGCTCAGTCTGATAGCAACTGTTCTCTTCATTTAGTGTCATACATAATTTAAAGATTTTATCATCTAAGAAAAGATTAAAAATAAACTTTACTGCATAGTTCTGAAAAAAATACAGAAATGTATTTTACTGTGCAAATGATCCTTATGAACAACTGAAGAAGTGTGGTGCCTTGGAAATATCTACTGTCATGTTTAACTTTTCAAGTTTTGTTTTGTGACTTATACCGAATGTATGTTGCCTTACAATGTAAGTCTTATATCAGAAGGCTACTTTAGCTTCCTTACATTTGGTCACCCTACACTCTGTGTGTGTGTGTGTGTGTGTGTGTGTGTTGCCAGTAGCTTTCTTAGAAGAGAGATATGATAGGGGATCTGTATAAGATTCTCTGTACTGTGCATGGAAGCAGAAGAGGTTATGATTAAGGGCCAGCCACTAGATCTGTACAGAGGGTAAGTTTTTTACAACTTTGAAAGTTTTAAAGTTTGTTTCTGTTGCACATTGGAATGAAAATAAAACCTTTTAAAATATGTATTTATGAAATTAAAGTGTGTCTTACTGGATTTAAAAAGTCAGGGTTTTTTTAATCATCCAATGACCAGAGAATTGACCCAAATTCTGATGCTTTCTCATTTAAAATGCTGTCCATTTTAGTGAAAAGCCTCTGTTTTCATGAAACAGATTGTAATGGAAAAAGATTCAGCCGATAATGTTTGTTTTGCTAGACAGTAAGGTAAAAAGAGGAACATGTGGAGTTGAGGAACAAAAATAATGGACCTTTTATTTAGTATCTCAAATTGTTTCTGTTTTTAGGGGTGAATACTTACACAGGTACTAGGAGAACAAGAGTAGGAACATGCTAATGTTCGTGTTGTTGGGCACGTGTTAACTTACATGTCCCAGTTTGAACATGTTTTTGAAGCTCATTGGTCAATATAAATGGGCAATGAAAGTCTTCCTAGCTAAATTAGCAGACTTTGAACTAGCAGTAGTTATGGTTTACAGAAGTTGCATTGAAAACATACCCATAAAATAATGCAAAAAGTGCTGCAATAATAATTATTTTGTGTTACAAAATAGGTTCCCAGTCGAAAGTAGTGGATCTATTATGTTAGCCTTTCCACAGAGTAAAAAAAAATCCTTTCCCCTGAAGAATGTACTGTCAGATAAAATGCAACAAATGATTATAACAGTTGGAACACAGAGTTAGGAGAAACAGAAATAAAAACATTCTCATGGACTTCTGCTATTTATCTTAGGTTTGTTTATATCCAGTGCTTTTAAAAATTAACCTAATTGAAAGAGTTAACCATGTCCTGCAGATTTACTGCCTATCCTGTAGCACTGCATTCAAAATAAGTCTTAAGAGCGGACTTTAGGGGTTAGTTTAAGGAGCATGTTATGTTCTGTGTAAGGAAATGATTCTCAACTGGGGTATCTCAGCAGCTTAGGGTGCCACTCAGTCCTTTTAGGGGTGACACAGCCAACCATATAATATTAGCACCATTAGGTAGGCAAACACTTACACGTGATTCACAAGCAAAAACCAGATATTTCAAATAGAAATCTATAGTGTCAAAAACATTCTGGCCTGTTATAGTCTTTCTAAGTTCTTTGCAACAGAAAAACTGCTTTGAAAGTTTACTTGGTATTTTTAATGAGGTAGTTGTTTTTGTACCTGCTTTAGCTTCCTTCTCTATAATTGAAGTTTTCTACTTTATAATAGGAAGAGGATTTTTTTAAACTTTAAAACATTTTTAAATTAGGCTGTTATTACACAAAACTAAATAAAGGCTCATTTCTTAATAGAAGATACAAATATCAGGACAACTGAAAATATTAAAGAAATAGCATGTTCTCATATAAACCATTCTGAGTGTCAGGAGAAGAGTCATTAAAAATATAAATGTCTAAATCTTTGGAAGTGAGTGGTTTGCATTTTCTTCCTTCACATAGTTTCTGTATCCTGAAAGACTGAATTAAGCAAAAAAGTATCCAGCAGGGGGGGCTTCAAAGCTGAAACATGCAGAATTTAGTAAAGAGGGGCTGAAGTTAGCAGTAGGCAGAGTAGGATAGCACTTTAGAGATTAACCATAGGCACCAATTCTGTGAGTGCCCCGAGGCTCAAGCACCCACCAAAAAAAAATAAAAATAAAAATTAGTGAGTTCTTAGACCCCTTGAGCCATTTCTGTTTTGGTTTTACATGTTAGATCTCTGGCTGCTTGCAGATGTTAAAAAAACAAACAGACAAACAAACTGAACTTTAGAAGCAGCCGTGTGTTACTTAAACCTGTGTGGTAAAAACATAGCATAATCTATATATTCTGCTTTTATAATTGCTTCTGCATATTATCACAATTGCTTCTGCTAAGGTATATAGGCCAATGATAGATTTATGAGTAGCACTAAACTTTTGCAGACAGAACCAGGAACAGATGCAATAAATAACTCCTTACAAGAGATAAGAGAAGAGGGACAGGGAAAGATGCTGAGGTAAAGAAATCAGACCCTGACCGAAGGATGACCGAGAGAGACTTAAAGACGGCCCCAGGGAGGAGATTTAAGATGTAAATGAGACATGTATGTAAACCGTCATAGAACACGTAACTGCTAGACATATGTTGCAAGACATAATACTTGGGCTGCCAATAATCACGCGACACGTTAAAATCTTTTATGTTAGCTATAAAAAGGAACCCCAGACTCTGTTTGGGGTCGACTCTGATTTGAGCGAATTAGCTCCTGGTCGATCTGTTTGCAAACAATAAATTTGAAATTGGACCCAGCCTGTGTGTGTGACTCTCCCCTAGGGGTGGATTGGACAAACCTCCAGGGGCACGAAACTAGCAGTTTGTGCAACACCTGGCTCTGCAGCATCTGTAAAGATCGGGTGCTTCAGTGGGGCTTTTTGGTGCTTTTAGCTAAAGCTGATTCAGTTATTAGCAGGGCTGGACACAGGCATGGGTGAACCGGGCAGTTGCCTGGGACCTGGACAGAAACGGTGATATTATTATTATTATTTTCTGACAAAAGGGGGCCAGATACTAAAAGTTCACCCAGGGCCAAAAGCACCAGAAAAAGCACCTGATATTCAGAAATACTGCAGAGCTGGGTTAAGTTATGCGCTGCCTCTTTTGGGCATGGGAACATGCTGTGTTTAAAGTAAAGGGCCTTTCTTTTAACATCTGCACGTGCCCACTGCCAACACCAAAGTGGACCTATGAGGTCAACTCGTTCTCAGAAAAACACCCTGTCTTGCCTTCTGTCTGACTTCGTACGGAGTGGACAAGGTGCATGCATTGGTGTAGAAAGCAGAGGCAATACCAGGGAGACTTACTAAGCCATTTAGCTGGGATATGCGCACAATAAACATTTTTAGGCCCAAATGAGTAAAACATTGATGGTTAGTTGAAGCGAAGCTGCAGAAGGCTGCAGACCGCGACTGCTGCGTAAGAGCTCAGGTGGCTTTGATGATGTGCTAGCTCCTCCTGAAGACGCCTGGTCTCCAACCCCTGCCTGGAGTAAGACTTTAGCTCTAGTTTTTCTTTAACCCTGGCAGAAGAGAGGCAGAAATGGAAGGGGAAGGGGTGGTCATCATAGGTTGTGCTAAGGGCGGGAGGACAGATGCTTCCCTTCCCCCAAACAACTGACTTGTGCACTGAATGGCATCCAGGTGCACCCACGGGGCACAGGGTTGTGTGCGCACACTGTCATGACTGGACTGAGGACAAGGGAGCCGGCTCTTCCCACTCCTGGCTCCACGTGCTCCCTAGTATTTTTCTACGCCATTGGCTGCCTCCCTCTCCCAGTCCAGCGTGCTACGTTTCAGCTTCTACGCCTGCGCGGCGGATGTTACGCCACCACCAGCTATGGGGAGGAGATACATTTGCGCAGGCGCGCTGGGCATCAGTGCCGCCATTGCGCAGGCGCAGCAGACGCGCCGGGCACAACCCCTTAGTGCGAAGGCGCGCGGCGCGCAGCTGCCCCCATTGCGCAGGCGCAGTGGAGAGTCTGCCGTTGCAGGGGCGGGGCTTCTGGAAGCTTCTGGGCAGGGTGCGAGGGCGGCGGCGCTCGGCCGGGATGTGAGTGCGCGCGGGGGAGCCGCGGGGTGGAGCGGGCTCCTTTCCACCCTCGAGTGCAGTCGCCCGGCGCGGGGAGGGCTGTGGACGAGCTCGGCCCTCGTGCTCTGCAGGCTTCAGCCCCGCTTGCGGAGCGAGGTGGCTCTTGCATCATGTACAGGGGGAAGCGCGTCCCTCCTCTCCTCTCCCGCTTCTCTCACACCTCTGCTGGGTGCTGGGAGCCAGTTGCACTGGCTGCAGAGGGCACCAGCAAGACCCTACCTCCTTGGTCCCCTCGCAGATCGTCTTCCAAGCAAGGAAGGCACTGCTGGGACACTGGAGAGAGAGAGAGAAATCCCCCTGCCCCCCAAATGGAGGCTTTGGGGAAAAATGTACCCTCAATGCAAAGAGTAATTGCAGGTGGTGGAGCAGAAATCCCCCCTCCCCTCTGCAAAAGCATGAGTGGATTCTTGGGGGCTCTTGGAGGTCCTGAGGAAGTGGATGTTGTGGTGTCCTGCTCTGTATCTAGCAAGCTTGAGCGTAGCTCACTTGTGTCCCTGTGCTTGCTTTGGCTCTGGATTGCCACCAATAGAAATTTGGATGATCCAGTAGTTTTTAAAGGATGTGTTAGTCTTCATGGGAAGGAGCTTCCCCCACACCCCTTCCCCCCCAAGCTGTGTGTTGAGTAAGTGTGAGTAATTCAGTGGACTGGCAGGCTCATGCTTATCTAGCCAAATCTTGGTGATTGTGGTGGTTGGTGGCTGAGGATGCGAAGAGGATTTTTGTGGAGCGAGCAATAAATTTGGAACTGTTTTGAGTGCTGGTAATGTCTTAATAGATTGCAGCTTTTTGAGTAGATGATGGTTACGAGTGGCGAAAAGCCAATACAACTGTAGGCTTCGTGCTTTACGTTCTCTCTGGATTGGGACCTTTCAGCTTTGTCTGGTCAGAGGTGCAGCATCCGGCCTGAATAACTTCTGGTGGTTTTACTAATGGTTCATTTTGGGATTGAGCAGAATTTGGGGAGAGTACAGCAACTTGTTCTTCTGTATCCTTACGTGAGGAGAAAAGAAACAGGTGATGGTAGAAGGGAGAAAGAAACACCGAGGAAATGGAATAGTTAGAAAAAAATCATGAGCAGACAAAAGAAACACATGGCAGAAGCAAATAGGATCTACGTTCTCTTTTTCCTCACTTCTGCAGCCTTGGACACAACGCGACTGATTCAGACATAGAAGGCATGAGAATAGCTTGAACAAATGACATGAGATAAAAGCTGCAAGGGGGAATAAAAACACAAGGCAAACAAATAAAGGAAGGTTGTTGCATATCTTGGAGCAGTGAAATAGTTGTGCATTACATCAATTTTAATTGGTAAGTTAAAATGTACAGTCTAACTTTCTGGGTCAAACATTTCAGCAAAGTCCACTTTTTTCCTCATCAACTCTTGTTCCATATATTTAGTTTTGTCTAGGTCTCCATTTTCATTCTGAAATGCTTATTTCAGCCCTTTGTGCTTGCAATCTCTAAGGTGACTCTATTTTAAAAAGTAGTGTGGCATGAAAGTATTTACTTTTCCTAAAACCTAGGAATAAACTTTCTAACCAGACCAGTACAGTACACCTTTTATTTTAAGCTTAACTTCTAAATTTCTGTTTACAAGTCTTGTTGAAAAAATAACTTGTTTATTGATAGTATAGAATTAACAGGAGAGTAGAACAATGCATTTATTTTTAATCTTTTGCTTGATTTCATTCACCAATAGGTCTTTGGAACTAAATTCACAAGAGGGCCATCAGTGCTACTGTTATTCATAAAACTCCTGCTTAGTTGCCACAGATTTTGCTATTGCATGTGTGCCCAGCCAGCTAACTCCTGACAGCACTTTGTTGTCTGGTGTCTAGAACAGTTGTTATGAACAAAGAATAAGTATGTGTTTGAATGTCATGCTTGTAGGGTTTGTTCGGTAGGTGTTCTTAGACCAGATCCTGCACAAAAGATGGTTAGGAAAAGACCCTATCCTGGATTTGCTTAGTGGTTAGAATATCATTTATTCCTGTTGGAGAAATTTGCTTCAGATCCTCTTCCTGAGGGATTTTGAACTCCCACCACCTTTATGAAGGTGTTCTACTGTCTATGAAATACTAGCTTAAGATCAGCTACCTAACTGGTAGTTTTTCATGGTCAGGCAAAATTTTCCTGTGAACCTCAGTGTAAGAGCATGAGATATGTCAAAATAAGTTGAGTATGCTAGGTACATTGCTGTAGTAACCAAATATATTGAACAAATATGGTTACTTCTGGGGTAGTTTAATTTTGAAACAATTCAGATTAAGTTTTCATTTAGAGAGTATGACTTACGTTATGACTGCTGAATCGACAGATCTAAATCTGGATAGCTTTAGAAGGGAACAAAATTTGTGGACCTGTTGCAAGTGTGAAGGCTTTTGAGGTATAGGAAGTGCTGGTAATTTTAACTTCATTATTAATGATTGCTATAAAAATTGCTAGTTTTTTTTTCACTTGATCATCTTTTACAGCATTGCTGAAGAGGACTTCAGTTGATAACAATGATTGAAGTTTTGATATTAAAGGTATGTTGACTTTTGAAAACAAATATATTGGTATACTGAAGTCTTCTAAAATATATTAGAATACAAGCGAAATTATGAAACGTATACAATTAAGTTGAAATCTAGAATACTAGAAAGAATTTACAGATACTGTACTTACCCCTCAACATCCTATGCCAATTTTATGTGCTCTGATACTTTCTATTTCATCCTTTTTACTTCTGTGAAGTCTCACTGAAATAACAGGGCTAGGCAGTGATATGACTGTAATGAGAAGTGCACCGATAGATTTTGGGGGCCGATAGCCAATTTTTTAAGGAGGCATATTGTCCTATACTGGTCTGATTTCCTATGAAGCTGCATCCAGCTGGTAAATCTGTTGTGGTGGAAGGGGCATGGGGTCACAGATCAATGCCCCCTGCAGTGAGGGAGGGAATGGGGCAGGGACTGGGGCAGGTGCTGTCCTGCTGTGGCGGGGCGGGCACAGGATGGAGCTGTGGCTTGTCTGAAGGGCACAGGGATGGGGAGCAGCTCCTGCCACTGCGTGCAGCCTGGGAGGGCATGTTGGGCAGGGGGGGGTGTCCCTGGATCTGCATGGTACGGGCTGCAGCTGCAGGTTGGGCCTGGGGCCCGTGCCACACTCTTCCTGGGGGGGGGTGTGGCCTGGGCTGCACTGTACTGGGGGTGGGCGGCAGCAGTGTTGGGAGTGGGGCTATGGCAAAATTTGGGGTGGCTGCAGCCTCCCCATAGCCCTCTTCCAGTGCCATCGCTCTCTGCCCCAAGCCCAGCTCCCACCGAGAAGAGCCCAGCTCCAGCCTAGAGCTGCAGCCTGCATAAATCCAGGGGGCATATCCCCCTGCTGCCCCCCCCCTTGCACCCTACAGATGAGCTGCGGCTCTGTCTGGTGCCACTCCCCCCTGACTGGGCAGTGCCTGCCCCACTCCCTCACTGCGGGGGTGTTGATCTGCCTTCCCCATGCCCCTTCCTTCCCCACCCCTTCTACCACTATGTACTTAACAGCTGCATGCAGCGCTCCAAGCTACCAGGCTGTGTCCTTTGCTGCCTGTGTGCTGCGCTGCAGCTGCATGCAGGCACAGGCATATACGGGGAAAGTTATCAGCTGCATTGGGCCCATTTTCAGTACAGCCAATTTTCTTTTTATTGGTGCCTTTCTGATGCCGGACCGACGTACCATTGCACCTCTAATGAGAAGCAAGTAAACAACATGCAAAATTGAGAAATGTTTTTCTGTAATTGTTAACTAACAGTCCTTTTGGATGAGTTAAACCAAAGGTGTCAAAAATCTGCCCTGTGGAACCCTATTATCCAGCTTGCTGTGCAGCCATGGGTGTTGGACTGGACCTGCATGCCACATGCTGTGGGCATTGGACCGGCTCTACGTGTGGCGTATGGAATTGGTTAGGGATGTGCACTCTGCACAGCGTATGGCAACAGTCTAGGGTGTATGCTACATGTGGCCTTGTGCATTGGATTCTGCATGTGGGGCCAGTTTATGGACCTAATCCAGATTGTCCTTTGATCCAGTGTGCAGGGCTGGTTTGGCGCAAGTGCCACATACAGTCTGCACCCCAGACTAGCCCTGTGCGATGTGTGCAGCGCATGCTGGTTCCAGCCCGCTGCAGCATGTGATGCATGGTGCTGGTCCTGGATGTGTGCTGTATGTGGTGCCCATGCCTGACTGGCTTTGTGCACTGGATCCAGCGTGCAGGTCTGGTCTAGAATGGGCCCCATGTGCAATGTGCGCCCCAGACTGGCCTCTTGTGTGCAGCCTGTGCTAGATGGGCTTTGCGTGACATATGAAGCATGTGGGGCTAGGGTCAGTGCACAAACCCAGTTTTCCTCAGCCTCTCCTCAGAAGTTATGTGCCCCAGCCCCTTAATCATTTTGTTGTCCTCTGCTGGACTCTTTCCAATTTGTCCACAGTGGGGGACCCAAAACAGGACACAGTACTCCAGATGTGGCCTCACCAGTGCTGAATAGAGGAAAATAATCATTGCCTTTGACCTGCTGTCAGAGCTGCTACTATTGCAGTCCAGTATGTCATTAGCCTTCTTCGCAACAAGGGCACACTGTTGGCTCATTACTAGGGACCTACCAAGTTCATGCTGGAAGTGGGCTGCACAGCAGCTCCTTTTAATCTCGCAGGTTCCTCCCGCACATTCCTCTATCAATTGGTGGAGGGGCCCTGGGCCCCACAACTCATTCCTGATTGGAAGGGAGGCAAAAACTGTGGTTTTAAATATGGTGTTGTTTTTGCCTCCTGGCTAGTCAGCACCAAGTAGCAGGGCTACTGGGGCCCCTCAGTCAATCAGCAACAGGGTGGAACGGGGAGCCTGCAAGATTAAAAGAGCTGCTGTGCAGTTCGCTTCTGCCATGAATGTGGTAGGTCCCTGCATTACTGTCTGCTCTAAATCCCAGGTCCTTTTCTGCAGAGTTGCTGTTTAGCTAGTTGAACCTCATGAAACTTCTTTTGGCCCAATCCTCCAATTTATTGAGGTCTAGCCTCACCCTCCTGGATATATACTGCTCCCCCAGCTTGTTGTCATCTGCAGACTTGCTGAGGGTACGCTCTATCCCATGTTCCAGGTCACTGATGAAGATATTGAACAAAACCAGCCCCAGGACTGACCCTTGGGGCACTCGACTTGATTACCGGCCGCTCACTAGACATCGAGCCATTGACTACTACCGTCCAAGCCTGATGATCCAGCCAATTTTCTCTCCACCTCACAGTCCATTCATCCAACCTGAATTTCTTTAGTTTGCTTGCAAGAATGTTGTGGAAGACCATATCAAAAACCTTGCTACGGTCATTGTTTACCACATCCACTGGACTCCCCATATTCACAGAGCTGGTCATCTTGTCGTAGAAAGCAATCAGGTTGGTCAGGCATGACTTGCCCTTGGTGAATCCATGCTGACTGTTCCTAAACACTGTCTTCAAGTGCTTAGAAATGGATTCCTTAAGGATCCCTGCTCCATAATTTTTCCATGGACTGAGGTGAGGCAGAGGTCTGTAATTCACTGGATTCTCCTTTTTCCCTTTCTTAAAGCTGGGTGCTATATTTGCCTTTTATTCAATTGCCCCAGTTTAAAAAAATGAAAGCCAGCAGCTTTCCAGTCGCATTGGCCAACTGCCTCAGTGCTCTCGGGTACATTCCATTCAACCCGATGGACTTGTACACATCTAGCTTCTCTAAATAGTCCCTAACTTGTTCTTTCACCACTGTTGCCCGCTTACCTCCTCTCCAAACTGTGCTTCCAGGCTCAGTAGTCTGGGAGCTAACACTGCCTGTGAAGACTGAGGTGAAAATGGCGTTGAGTTATTTTAGCCTTTTCTGCATTCTCCATAACTAGGTTGCCTCCACCATTTAGAAATGGACCCACACTTTCCCTGATCCTCCTCTTGCTGCTGACATACTTGTAGAGGCTCTTCTTGTTACCCTACATGTCCCTTGCGCTGTGGCCTTACTGGTTTTCTTTCTGCCTGCCCTAGCAATACTCTTATACTCCTCCGTAGTTATTTGGACAGGTTTCCACTTATAAGATTCTTTTTTGTGATTTTAGCTTACGGAGGAGTTCCCTTCTAAGCCAAGCTGGTCTTCTGCCATAGTTGCTAGTCTTCCTGCACATCAGGATGGTTTGTTCCTGCACTCTCAGTAAAGCTTCTTTAAAGTACAGGCAGGTCTCCTGGACTTTGCACCCCTCAGACTGGACTCCCAGTGGATCATGCCCATGAATTCCCTGAGTGAGTCAGTCTGGTTTTCTAAAGTCCAATGCCTTTACTCTGCTACTCTCCATCCTTCCTTTCCTCAGGATCCTGAACTCAGTCATCTCGTGATTGCTGCTGTCCAGGTTGTCATCCACGACTACGTTCCCCAAGTCTTCCCTGTTTGTGAGCAGCAGGTTAAGAGCATGGCCCCTAGCACTTGCCACTCCAGCACTTGTACCTGGAAGTTGTCCCCAACACTCCAGAAACTTCCTGGATTTCCTGTGCCCTGTTGTATTGTCCTCCCAGCATATGTCAGAGTGATTGAAATTCCCTATGAGAACCAGGGTCTATGATCGTGAAACTTTCACTAGCTGTTTGAAGAAAGCCTCATCCACCACATCCTCTTAGTCTGGTGGTCTGTAGCAGACACCCACCACAATGTCACCCTTGTTGTTCTCTCCTGTGACCCTAACGTGGAGACTTTCAGCAAGCCTATCTCCAGTTCCATACTGGAGCTCTGAGCAGTCATACAGCCCTTTTACATAAAGCACAAGTCCTCCTTTTCTCCCCTTCCTGAAAAGTTTATACCCATCCATGACACTGGTTCAGCCATGCAAGCTCCCACCACGTGTCTGTTATTCCAGTCACGTTATAGTTCTGTTACTGTGTGAGGATTTCCAGTTCTTCCTGTTTGTTTTCCAGGCTCTGTACATTTGTATAGGCACCTGAGGTGTAACCATCTGATTACCATAATTTCTCATGAGTGTACCTCCCTTGTTTCCCCCTCCTGCTTGTGCTTCCTCCAGGTCATCCAGTTCCCCACTTACCTCAGGGCTTTGGTCTCCATCCCCTGGCCAACCTAGTTTAAAGCTCTGCATATAGCAGGCAGCACTGTGTGCTAGATCAGTGTTTATCACCCTGTGAGTTGTGACCCAGAAGTGAGTTGCAAAAGTATATGAAAGGCTCGAGAACAACCTTTAAGAATGGATCAAACGTCAAAAAATGGATTCTCCTTTAAAAAAAGGAAAATGTGGGAAAATGTGGCTTTTCCCTTGCTGGTTGTCAGAGTTCCAGCCTGCAAGGGGCTGCTTGGCCTCCCCTTGCCCTATGCGGTATGGGGCAGCAGGTTGGGAGGAGGAGCGCTGGATTGAGATTGGCCATTGATGTTTACAAGTGGGTTGTTTTACAAAAAAGGTTGAGAACCACTGTGCTAGATGATACAGCTCTGCAGTCTGGATCCAGCTGGCAGTGTGCATCTTTGACACCCTTGCTTTAGATCAGTTTTCACTTGAATTTCTAATTTTACTTGAATATTTATATTGGTCTAAGATGGTTTAGAAATAATAAAAAACATGATATAGTACAGTTTCCTCTTTTTGTGGTTTTAATTGCACTTCACTTTCTGACTAGATTGAAGATCCAGGTTGCTTTTGGGTCATTCTGAAAGGATGTGGATCTTTTGTAGACAATGAAGTGGAATATAGAAAACTGCATGCTGACATGAATCAGTTCTATAACCAATCTTGTAGAGATGTGGATGAAGTAATGCCATTAACGTTAGAAGAAGGGCAGGTAAAAATATTTATTTTGCTAGATAGATTTAAGGAAACTAGAAATGTTTGGTAATTTCATCAGGAAACATCACGTGTATACTTGCTCAGATTTTTTTTAACCGTGGGAGTATTTCCATTACAGATTTACCATATTTACTTGCATGTAAGCCAAGTTTTTTTTTACATGCAATCAGCATGGGAGGGAAAGGTCCTTGCCTTATAGTTGCATACAAGAAAGCCTCATTAAAACGTTCTCCATCACTAAATTGCCACCAAAAGCCAACGATAAAGTTGATTAAATGCAGTCAGCACTGAGCATGAATATAGAACACATCCCATATTGGGCAAACATACAGATGGGAATCTTTTTTTGTAAAAATATGTCTCTACCACAAGGATAGATTAGTGCATGCCATCTGAATAAGATAAATGGTAGTGTCCATGTTGTTGAGTCTTCCTCAGCAATGAATCTTTTCCAGGTCATGGTGAGCCACTACATTGAATACATTTCGACTTCCTCTTCATTCCCACAGCTGAGCTGTGTCTCTCCCATTTCCAATGATTACTGGTTCTTTACCAGCCTTAAATGGCTGGCAAACGTAATCAAAAGCAGCCTCAAACGGTTCACCCAGAAGCCCTCTGTTGCCTGTTCTCTTAGCCTGTCACATGATTAGTGTGGCTCTGCCCACCATGAAGTAGAACTGAACCAGGTTGCCCTGTGCCTCTTGCATATAAATTTTTGGAGGTTCCTAGGACTCTTGACAAGAACCTGGTTCCAGTCATGAGTGGGGAGCTAATTAGCTCTTGGCCCCGTTGTGGCGGGGTGCAGGTATCTGGAGTATGCACACATACTGAGTAATGTTGAACTGTGGGGTCATGATAGCTTGAAATGCTGTTGACTCAGCTGGGGCCCATCCCAGTGAACTCTGTGGTAAGTTATGAGCCTTTGTGCTTTGGACTAATCATTCATAACTTGTACTATATATAAGTAGGTGGAGAACTGCTGTTTAAAAGTGTATAATATGCAGATTACTATAGGCATATTTCTTTCAAAGTCAGTGGTTTCAAATTTGTCCCTCACTTCCATATGCTCAGGGAGAGCAGGCTTGGACAATAAGGAGGGGGCTAGAGGGTTTCTGGGGGGAAGAAGTTGGGGGGGGGGCAGAGGTCAAGGGGATTTTTTACCTAGTAGCTATTCTATGTTTAAAAAAAAAAAACCCAAAATTTCAGGTGGAGAAAAGTGGGTATTTTGTTTTGTTTTCTTCCTTTCTTTTCAGGTGTGCGTGGTTTTTTGTCAGGAACTGAGATGCTGGTGTAGAGCAGTTATTAACACAATCATGTCCTGTACAGATCATTGCCTGGTAGAGTGCTTCCTTGTGGATTATGCCAAGTATATTCCTGTTAAAACAAGAGAGTATGTACTGTTCAAGAAGTTATTGCTGCCAACTGTCTCATAAGTTAATGTTGTTCGGATAATGATGATTTAACTAAGGACAGAGCTGTGTCTGTTTAAGATGTGAAATCTATAGTTTGGGTCTTTCTTGCTAATTTTCTTGGGCATATAATGGAATTACTTAGAAGCCTGAATATAAATCAGTTTGTTTTTTGGGGGGAAAAGTTTTAAAACTGGATTTTCTTTTTAAATAGGTTTCTTTAAAAAAAACAAAATTCGAAGGGCTTAAGTGAATAAAGCCTCCATTTTTGATAATCTGTGTTAATACCTACATTTACTATAATACGTTAAATAATCCTTGGATGTTTAGTTTAAAATTAAATAATGTATGTTCAGGAGGAAAAAATTAAAGCCAACTGAACTGGAGAAGGCCAGTGTCTAAGCATTTGAGATCTTTAGCAGGTGTTAAAAGTATTTCACTTCAGTTTATTCAGCTGATTTAGTTCATTAACTAAGTCTTTTTAGTTGAGAAATATGGGATGGCTTAATTTAAACATTGGAAAAGGAAAATTAGGTAGAACAAGTAGGTGATAACAGTACAGTCTAAATATGACAACTGAAATAGTCTTGTTTGCTATTGACAGAAAAGTTTTTGTTTAATGCAGTTATTAAAACATCTTGCATTTATAGCTGATCCCTTTTTACATATGCAGCAAAGTACTTAACTTTTAAATAAGCTTGACATTTAATACTATTATTTAACTAATAAAAAAAAAATAACATGCTGGTTTTCTGCATTTTAAATCAACTTCCATCCAAAGGTGTTTTGATTCAGATTGTGAGTAAGGACAATTTATCTAGTGAAAATGGTAAACTTTTACACAATTTACAACACTATGATACATACATTAAACATGTGAAGAAATGTATCAAGCTATACTAACTCTACTTAGTTGCTTTTAATAAATGTGTTGCGTTCTATATCCTCCCTGGTTAGCAATAAAAAACATAGTCCCAAACTGAGTATAGAGACAAAAACATGTTGACTTGTGACCAAATAATAATGTTGTTTAAAATGATCCTTTTAAGAAAATATCTAAAGTATAAATGGAAAGAGGAGTAAAATCAGTTACTTAAATCAACATGAAGGACTCAAATCAATCTGACCTATTGTTCATAGGAGTTCCAGATAGAAGTTTGCGTTGTCAGATACTAATGTTTCTGTCAAGGCTATGGAACGCTCTGGGACCTATAACAGGGTTTATTAAAAGAATCTAAATCTATATGATAGCGGTCCAAGAAAGCCTTTAGATGCTTACATCTTGAGCAGTATCTCTGCAGCCTGTTTTCTCTGGTCACAGAGGCCATAGAACTGTATGTTTGAGGTGGGAGGGAGGGGATGCACCTGACTTTAGATTAGTTACTTAAATAGAGGCATGCTCCTTCTACAGTTACTGATTTTTTTTTTTTTTTTTTTTCTTCAGAGTACATATGTTCTAAAGGCTAAAATTCTCTAACTCCTAAGTCTGTGTTGTGCCTTTGGAAAGAAAAGTGAAATAAGATGCAGGGAGACGAGAGGGCCTGTCTTGCCAAATGCAGGTTGTAGGATAGTTTGGTGGGGGTCAATCTTTGGCAGATGTTCCACAAATTAGCCCTGTACCCTCCCTGAATGCCACTTGGATCCCTTTCTGTTTTCTGATCTACTGTTCAGCTTTTTGCTTAATGCCTGGTTTCCTGCTTGAAATGATGCTCTGCTTTCTGCTCCCTGCCCCATCTGCCACTGCCACATGCCATACACAGAGGCTGCCTGTGCCACAAGTTGGCCACCCCTCTTGTAAGAGATCAGTGGAAGTGAGACACCCCAGATTTGTGACAAATGTGTTACAGATTGCTGTGTATAACTGTTTTAAAACTTCTGTTTTACTATTAAGCATTCGGGTTGCAGTGGAAGCATTTATGCGACTCCCATATAGAGCAAGAAAGTTTAGATTATACTGTATAAAGCCAGTGACGTTGCACATCGACTTCTGTGAAGATACTGCAGAAATAGTGTAAGTATAGCTTGAGGTTGTTCTGTTCTTGAACCTCACTCTTCTGACTAATTTCCAAGCTATATTTATTCACGTGCATCTTTTTGTTTTTGTGCATCTTTATCATGTAGCTTAAATAATTCTTCCCTTTCTAGATATATTTATAGGGAGCAATCATATCTACATTCAGCTTCTACTTTGCTGGACTAATATTACATTAGATTGACAGGACTAATTTAAAACTCATGATTTATTTTATCCCAAGTTCCATTTACCTCTATGTTCTAGGTCCTTTCCCTCAAAATTTGTTCTGAAACTTGTCCAATATTGAGGTCAGTTGCCTGATTGAAATTTCCCCTTTCTTAAATACCAGGGTAGGCAGGAGGAAGGAGCAAGGAGGAGGGCAGGGGAGGAAAAGGGGGGACTAGTACCTAGTATGGTGGGAAAGCGGTTGGGGAGCCATAATGGGCGTAGTCCTTGTGATATCACAGCGCTGGCCCCTTCCCCCACAGTCTACCCAGAGATGTATCTGCACCCACTGCTGGCAACAAGCTGGGTTGGGGCACTCTAGACACCAGTGTAGCCACTTGCAGCCTTGGCCCCCAGGTCACCACATGGTGACGGCAGCAGCAGGCAAGGGGCTTTACCAGCTTGTTGTTCCTAGCACACAGCTGCCTGGGAGCTGGGGCCAGCTGCATGCTGCAGCAGCAAGCCCTGCCACAGGCCTTTAAAGCCATAGGCAACAGCAGCAGGGATGAGGCTTTCCCAGCCCACTGCTGCTACCCAGGGAAGGAGTCAATGTAGAGGGGGGCCAGTCCCCAGTAGATGCATGTTATCAGTTAATTATTTAACTGATAACATTAAGGGAGCTTAAATGGGTACTTAATTGATATTTACATCCCTAAACCATACCAGATTTGGTGATGCAGGTTGTCTTTGATTTTTCCTTCTCTAATCTTAGTGCAACAAGCTCTGAAAGCACAGAGTGCTTTACATTAGGCTGGCCCAAGTAGCTTATTCATTTTTGGAATATTATCTGTAAATCAGGTCTGTCTAACTTCTAAGCAGTCAGAGGCTGACTGCCTGTGGGCCACACCAGCTGGTGGCTCAGCTTCCTGTGTGGGCAGGGGCAGGAAGCAGAAGGCAAAGAAGGGCTGCAGTGATGAGCAGATTCACATATATGGTGGCAACTGGGTCCAAAGTACTCGCATATCATGGTGTGAACAGCTCTATTTCAGCTTGCCATTCCTAAAGTTTGCTAACTCTTTGTATAGAACAAGTTTTGTCTTTTATCAATATCTTAGTTTTGGCACTTGACAATACAGTTTTTAAATTCCACATAAAACATACCTGGTAATATTAAATCAGAAGGTATGGTTTATTTTGTTGGCACCACTGTAAAATATCTGTGGTTTTCTTGAGCATTGGTGTGCAACCTTTTGGCCCCATAGGCCAGATGAGTGACACAGGGCTGGCTTTCACATTAGATTGGGACCTGTGTACTAGGATTGGGCCTTGGCTGGCCCCTTAATGCTAGGAAGGGGGGCCTTGCCTGCCAAGGTTGGGCTCTGCACCAGCTCTACCCCCTGGGATCAGACCCCACATGTTGGGATTGAACCTTGGTTCCCCATACCCTGTATCTGTTTGGCCCCTCATGCTGGGATGGGGTCCTGTATCCCAGGGTTGGGCCTCATACTGGCCCTGCCTGACTGCACACCAGGATCAGTCCCCCTACACCAGGATCATGCCACCCTGTGCACCTGATGTTGTGCAGAGGGCCACCTATCCGGCTCACAAGACTCCCCCCAGGTACAGAAATTTGGCATCAGGGGAGCAGCAACTGTTTCACCCATCACCAAATTTTCAGACCTGTGGGAAGCTCTGAAGGGTGGATCTGGCCTGGAAGGTGGGGGTTGAGTACCCTGATCTAGAGTGATATGATGAACAGCGAAGTTATAATGTTTCCACTTCCTTCCTTATAAGCAGGGATCCAGGTTTTCAGTTTCTCACAGGGGGAAAAAAATGTGCAGATTTTCCCTTTTAACTGAGGAAAAACCACAGATATTTCATTTCAACAGAGAAATGTATGGATTTTCCACTTTTGCAAATTACTCTCTGCAGGCTGGCAGAGTTCCACCCTGTAAGAGTCTTAGTGGAGCAGGAGAAGGGCAGTCAGGCAAGGGGTGCCATGTGCATGTGTGCAGTCACACATGCACATGGCCACCAGGAAGCCTGGAGAACAGTTCCTTGTAGGTAAGTCTGGCAGAGGGGAGTGGGGATTGAGGCCCCCCATAGAGAGGGAGGGTGAGGAAGTTGGGTAGGGCTGAGGCTGCTGTTCTGCTTGGACAGTGCTTAGGGCCCTGGGCCAGCATGGGCAACAGCAGGGCTCCAAGAGGGAGTGGGGCAGAACCATGCGGGGGAGAGGGGGGCACATATGTCTTTGCCCAGATCTGTATGCAGGGTTGGGGCAAGCTCCTTGGGCTCTCTGCAGTCCAGCAGGTGGGACCTGGTGCAGCAAGACAGAGTAGGGCTGGATGTGGAAGCTCCTTGCCACTACAAGCTGCATGCTGCCCTGGCGAAGTGCCCCCTGCCTTCCCAGCAGCAACGGGGCCAGCAGTGGCATGGAGTTGTGTCCCTTACTGCTGGACAGGCAGAAGGTGCCTCACCATGGTGGCATGGAGCTTCCAGCAGTGGTACTGAGCTTCCCTACCTTGTTCTGCTTTGCCAGGTGCTGCCAGCTGGGTCACAGAGGCTGAGCCCTCAGTGGGCAGCTCACCTCCACTCAGTGCCAGGGGCTCCACTCTGGCCGTGCTGCCCACTGAGGAGGGAGAGCCAGGCTCTGTGCTCTGGGGTCTTCAAGCAGAGAAAACCAGAATCTCTGCTTATAAGTATACTTGTATGTTTTTTATAATTTTAGATAAATATTGATGTATGAAATTGAGGCATGAAAAATCACTTATGCTAAACTGAGGTTAATGATAATATTACTTATCTTTCTAGACCTGCTAAGATTTGGGATGGTGCTGCTATTCAGTACTTCCAAAAGCTGCTCAGAGGTAAAAATATACTGCCAAAATTGCCAGCAGCATTTCTCTTTCAGAAGAACAAGTTGCAAGGATAACGCAGCACTTTTGATTCTGTATCTTAGATTGTGGCCCAGAATGTTATAGAAATACAATGCAACTTAAGTTGTTTCTGGTTTCATTTGCTATAAACAGTTATACAGCTTGATTCAGTCCTGATTTCCTTTATGAACGGACCAAAATCCAGGGCTGCGTGTCCTTCCAAGCCTCCCTAGTTATTTGTGTAGTTGACTAATTACTGTTTCAAGCTAGGAGGTATCTTGGACACATTCCTAAAGGCAGACCACCTATTGAATGTTCTTAGCCAACAGGACATTTCAATCTAGGTGCCTTAGGTTAGTGATTGGCAAATTTAGGACCCTTTTAATCCAACCTGTGGATGTGGGGTTTTAGCAGCTGGGGTCTCTGGCAGAAGTTGCTTTCCTATGCTGCTTTGGGGAGAAGCATCGGCTGCAGGTGTGCTCCCCCTGCCACCCTGGAGTGGAGCACTGGCTGCAGCTGGGTCATACCTTTTACCTGTCTGCCCAGCTGTGATTGAAACTTCATCACACTGTCCTGCTGTGGCTGTAGGCGCTTGAGCCAGCTGTATCTATTGCTTCCCTAAGCTCCCATTTGCTTAGACAGGTACAGCTGAGTAGATTTTAGAGACTGGGAATTTTAAGTCATTTGGGAAAACCATGGCAGGAAGGTGGAGAACACAAGCTTAGCAAAGATCATTCTTAACCGCAAATGCTTTACTATTTAAATTATGCTGGAGTTAAAGGTATTTGGGAAATAACAAACAATTCTGAATATAGGGCTCTCCTCCCTTTGCATCCAGAGGTCAGAATTCTCTCCTACTTTCTTGCATATATGCTTCCAGCTGCGAGTGTGTCCTTTTTCCCAGCCAGGCTTTTGGGGTAGAGTTTATTTTACTTGTAGTCAGTAAGTACTTGAGAGAAAATGGGAATTGGTGTCTATTGCTTGTCTTCTGGTAAATTGCAATCTCTAGCATGGTTGCACCAGCTGACCTTATCAGGATTAGAATAGTTTTCCACCATGATACTATAATCTTTACGGTGAGATTATAACACAAAGTGAATGTCACAGTGAAGGTTACAATAACAATATAGAATTCAGTTGGCAAACACACCCACTATATTAAAGGAAGTAATAATACAAAAGAGCGTTCATAAAAATGCTTCAAAACTTACCGGCAGAGATTTTCATATCTAGTGACATAAAATGTAAATTTAGCTAGATTTACTACATTAGAAGGAGTTAAAAACATTGTCAAGCTATTCGGACTGAAATGAACCTTTCAGGAAGGTAAACTAGTTTATGTGCAACAGTATCTTTATTGGAAAGTATATATTTCTATTATAGAGGCATTGGCAGTGAATCTGGTACATTTATGTTGAAATTTACCCTCAGAGAGGAGATAACATGTTTCTGTTCCCTACTTTTATAGTACAGAATGTGATCTGTGGGCTAATAATATTCCTCTCCCTCTAGCTTCTGCCTCTCCTGCATCTGCCCCTTGGGGAGGGAGCCTGCAGCTTAGGTGTACAGAGACATTCAGGGGCAGCAGTTTAAGGGGAGGAGGAGTGCTTGCTGATGGAGGACATGTATTGTTCAGTGCAGGGATGCTGATGTGGGCATTGTGCAGCTTACAAGGCATGCAGCCCAGGGGCCTGCAGCCCCCAGCAACTGAGAAATTTGATAGGTGTGGTTTAAGGTTTCTGTGTGGTGTGTGGTTCTGTACAGTGGAAGCATGCTATCTTCTTAAATACAGAAGCTATGCTAGTCAAACTGGTTTTAATCCTCTTGATCTAGTTTAGTGAAAGCAGTGGCAAAATCTGTTTGGGAATTAAAATGCTTTTCTTCCTTTTAATATTCTTCCATTCTATTATACCTAGAAACCACGCAGATTGAGGCTAAGTTATGTGCTATAGAAGATGAACACTTTGATGTTTATCTTTATGTAACAGTACAGGATGAAAAGGTAAGGTATCTTTTACATTTCTGGTTGTAATAGCATGCAGTTTGTAAGCTGTAAATTTTGTTAATAGTTTAATAAGGATCAAATGTATTTAATCTTGGATGAGCTTCCAGCAGGAGTAGGCAGAATACAGCCTGTGGGTGGATACAGCCTGCAGAAAAACTTTGACTGGCCCTCGGTCCCACCTGGCTCGGGTGCCATCCAGCCCGTGGTGCACATCCTGTTACCCCTGGGCACACAGTATGGCTGAGGTGCGACTCCTTTCGGTTGCCACTGGCCGCAGCCCCTTGGAGACTGGTGGGGACCCACACATGGCCCCAACCCCAGCCCACCCCGCACCCACTCCGGACCTGCTCTGGCCCCAGTGAACCTGCTCTGAACCAGTTGGGGCCCATCTCGCTTCAGACCAGCCCACCCATGATGAGCGGTGGTGGCTGTGGCCAAGAAGAATCTGCTGCTGGGTGTGGGGGGGGAAAAGCACCCCCACCCTTGCTGCTTCAGGGCCCTTCGGGCTGCCCTGCAGCTCCTCTCTGCTGCTGTCACTGCTGTGTCTGGGCCACCAAGTGGGACAGCAGTAGCAGTGGAGAAGAGCCACAAGACAGCCCAGGCATGGCTTCTGGGCAGTTGAAGCAAGAAGGGCCTAGCAGTGGTGAGGGGGGGCTGGCTGATTTTCTCCTGCACCCAGCAGCAGCTTCTGCCTGGCCACTACTGTTCATTGTGGGCAGGCTGGTTTGGAGCAGGCACCGGGCAGCCCAGGGCCAGGAAGAGCTGTGTGCTTAGGTCCTGGCTAGTCTGGAGCTGGTCCGCTCTGGCCAGAGCGAGTCTGGAGTGGGCGTGGAATGGGCAGGGGCTGTGTGCTCAGTCGCTTCTGGGCTCTGGTGGCAGGTTGGAGCTGCAAGACTCTCAGGCTCTGGGTTTGGTGAGCTGTTGTGGGGGGGGAGGAGGGAGGTTATGCTGACTGGCCTACAACAGCTCCCCCAAACTGCCAAAGAATTGCCCACCCTTGGTCTACTGTAATAACTTTTGTTAATTACAATAACAGTTAAGGATTTAGTGGGGTTTTTATTTTTAGCTCCTTTTGTTTACAGCTCTCTAAAATGGTCCTGAGAAAATAGTTTTTCATGCTTCTTCTAGTGCCAATCTCTTAAGTTATGGACAGTGACCAAAATCCCAGTTGCATGTTCACTGTTCTATGCTCATTTAATCATTACTTATTCACAGAGCCCCATTAATCTTTATAATGTATAAACTTGAAAGTACAGATTGGGCGCATCCAGACGAGCATGCATGTTCCTCTTGCGTCATCTCAGAGCAGTTTGAGATGCCACAAGAGGCATGCTGGGAACAAAAAACATGTTCCCCACACTGCATATTTGCCGCACTGACTAAATTTGATACCTGGAAATCCAGCTATCAAAAAACCCCCACGAAAGAAGCGGGGCAGGGCACAGTTCAGGACCGTGCCCTGAGGCAAACTGGCAAAACCTCTAGGGGTGCTCTGGTATCTGGCCAGAGAGTCTCTGTGGTGCTTCTGTTGCTTCAGCACACACCCCTAGCTTGCGGGGCAAGGCTGTAGTGGAACCTGGCCTGGGTGCTTTTCCAGGTAAGCAGGGACTAGGGGTGGGGACAGGGTGGACTGTGTGGTTTCTGGGGGTGTGTTGGGGGGGTGAGGAGGGCCGGGGGGGGGCGTCTGCAGGGCT